AGAGCGAGTGCAGGTGCCTCAAGGGCCACCTGTCATGGGCCTTCCCTTCCCCTCCCTTCCCTTCAACTCCCTTCCCCTCCACTCCCTTCCCCTCCCCTCCCCTCACCTCCCTTCTTCTCCCCTCCCCTCACCTCTCCTCCCCTCCCCTCCCGTTTTCCTTCTCCTCCGCAGAGTGGGTGCAGGTGAGACTACTTCTGACGTACCTCAAAAGACACCTGTGATGGTCCTTCCCCTCCCCCTCCCTCTCCCCTCCGGTATTGCTCTGCAGAGCGGGTGCAGGTGGGACTACAATCGCAGCGGGATAAGCCGACCGCAGCAGAGGCCACTGGGATTTGGCGCTTGCCCGGGAATGAACTTTGGACTCCAAGACCACCATCCTCTTGTCAACCTTCCTCCCACATAAAGTACTATTGCGAGGCGCCTAAAAAACAGTGGGCTAAGGGGACCACAGCAGAGGCCACCAGGATTTGGCTTTTGCGCTGGAATGAACTTCGGTGTTCAGGACCGTTTCCCTCTTCACCATCCTCTCACATGAGTATACCGTACAAGTTTGGCGTCATGTATTATTAACGTATGGTTACCGGTTTGACTGTTGGAAAGGACTTGACTTGATATCGGAGGCACTAATGCATTTAACAACTACCTGTATGTGTCTAATAAAAGCCTGGAAGTGGGGAACTAGTATTACCGTAGTCTTGGGACTCAGGAAAACACATGAGATCCAGAGTGTTACATCTGGGAAATTATGTATTGTAACTAGGCTAGAGTTCACCAGTTGAGGTCTGAGGGTACGTTCCTGTGGAGACACTTGTGTCTCAATCCTTTTGTGACGCGTAAAACCAGCTTATAACGCACAATGTCACAAACGCGTGTCGCCCTTGTGCGACTTTTAATGTATTTTTCATTTGTCGGCGTGAAACGCGCTGATGTCGCGGACGAGTTGCGTATCGACCCGTCATTGTCAACAACTCTGTACGCGGTTCGAAATGTCAATGCACCTGGACATTCCACAGTAAAATCTCGCGCGGGAGAAAGTTCCGCTCGTCAAAACCCCACCCGAACCAGACAGTTGAAGAAACGGGTGTTCAGTCAAGTTTGAAATCCAATCAAATGAGCACAGCTGTTAATTTCGCCTGGTCGCACAGTTTCGTGATACACTCATTTTTTGTGACGCGAGATTGCAAAAATGTGTAGACGCGACTCGGAAAAAAGGGGATTGAGACACAAGTGTCTCCACAGGAACGCACCCTGAATACGGTACGCGGGACAGCGGACTTAATTACCGTAGTTTGACACACTGGCACGATGGGTTACGGGCAGGCCCGTAGATTCGTTTTTGGACACTCTGATGGGTCAGCGTGCACCCTTCTCTAAACTTTGTCAGTCAGAGTTGCCTCCAATTTTGAGTCTGGAAATTCAGACAACACTACGTTTTTTAGGCTGAACATTGTTACACTCAAATTGAAGGCAGAGGACGGTGGGGTGGGGTGGATGGTTGTGGTGTCTGTTAAAGTTTAGAAGAAAGAAGAGGGAAGAAGAGGGATGCACTAGCAAGAATGGGGATACAAATAGGAAACCCTAGAAGGGTTGTACTCGCTATAGAGCACCCCACTACAGGCTAGAGCATAAGATAACATTCTGACACACCCCCATAGCCAAAGTGGGGTGTAATCAGCAGAGTAAGCAAAGGAGTACAAGCTCAGGGTGGATCACAATGTCACCACACATTCTGAGCACAAGTTCAAGAAGCAATAGTTTAAGTTCACAATTATGAGCAAAGCTAGTGGTAGTCACAACGGGCAAGTGAGGAGGAGGAGAGAGAGTGAGAGGAGAGGAGATAGGAGGCGACGGCTGAAGCTGCAGACACACAGGCAACAGGAGGCAGACTGGCACAGCGGCTACCGGACGAAGTCCCCGGAATACAGGAGTAACAGGCCCCGCGGCTAAAGTAGCGGCAGACGAGCAACGGACCCACGGGCGGCTGGCACAGCTGGCTACGACTGGGCTACCGGACGAAGTCCCCGGAATACAGGTGCTGCTGGCGACACGACGGCAACCTCCATTCAGCTTCCCCAAACTATCCCACTCCCCCCTGGCACATACCCGCTGCTACACCGCTAGCTCCACTCCCCCTTCACCCCCCCTTAGTACCACTCCACCGGCTCCAACACGTCCACCCCCCCTCAGCGGCAGCTGCAGCACAGGGAGACGGAGGAGGAGGAGGAGCAGGGAACAGTACACAGTGGGTGCACCCCCATACCCCGCACCCCCAAACCCTAATACAGGAGAATGGGGAGTAGGAGGGGTGGGGCACGAGTAGAAGCGCTGGGGGACAGTAGGGAGGGCAGGGGCAGCAAGGAGCGGGCCCACCACGGGCCTGGTAGGGTCGCCCGAACCGCGCGTAGGCGGCCTGAGCCGCGCGCGGGCCTGGCGCCGCCCGTACGGGCCGCGCGCGGGCCTGGCGCAGCCCGTACGGGTGGCGCGCGGGCCTGGCGCAGCCCGTACGGGTCGCGCGCGGGCCTGGCGCAGCCCGTACGGGTCGCGCGCTGGCCTGGCGCAGCCCGTACGGGTCGCGCGCTGCCTGTACGGGCCGCGCGCAGGCCACGACGGGCGACGGGGGGCGACGAACGGGTCCCCGTCGCCCGTCGCGGCGCCTCCCGAGGGCGACGCGACGGTTGACGGGGCCGAAGCCCGCCGCGCGCCTCGGGGCGCACAGCGGGCAGAGAACCGCCGCGCGCCTCGGGGCGCACGGCGGGCAGAAAACCGCCGCGCGCCTCGGGGCGCACGGCGGGAAGAAAACCGCCGCGCGCCTCGGGGCGCACGGCGGGAAGAAAACTGCCACACGCCACGGGGCGTGCGGCACCGAGTGTAGTGGTAGGAGTTGCAGCGGAAGCTAGGAGGTGGTAAGCCCACCCACAGGATCGATCCAAGGGGATCGACCTGCTCTGATAGCATGTTTAAAGTTTAGAAGAAAGAAGAGGGAAGAAGAGGGATGCACTAGCAAGAATGGGGATACAAATAGGAAACCCTAGAAGGGTTGTACTCGCTATAGAGCACCCCACTACAGGCTAGAGCATAAGATAACATTCTGACAGTGTCGTCCGGGTGCAGCGCGCTGCGAGCTATGTGTTGGAATTAAGGTTAATTCGGGTTGCTCCAATAAACATATGTAGTGGTACATCTACACTATAGTAGTGTAGAATACATTGGTTGGGTTGGGATAACTTGTGGTGTACACTCTTTAGAGTGGACCACCTCCCAAACCCTATAGGTTAGGGTTCTCTCTTGTTGGAACTTCACTTCTTGAAAACCACTTTGGTTCTAGCATGGTTCATGCCCAAGTGGGCTCCTAAGATTCCTAGGCTTTAGGAGGAGGTTCTAAGACTACTAAACCTTCCGTTAGTAGCTTAGTCCATTCTAATATGGTATCAGAGCTAGGAAGGCCTAGCAATCTGTTGGAATAGGAGTTACTCAAGAAATTGGATCATAATACCTTGGTGGAAGCTAAATAGCTTCCATCCCTCCCGAAGGGTTGCCGAAATTGCACTGTGGCGGACTCTGGACGTGGGAGGGGAGGAGGAGAGAAGAAACCCGCTGGAAATCGAGTGGATCCGTTTGGGAGGCCGAGAGGAGCGACATCCACTCACGGAGAGGCTCACTCAACGTTGGCGGATCAAGGCGTGCAGCATATCGTTGGAAAGCCCTCAATACGATCTACAACAGTTGCCTCGGGGTTGTCACAAATTGACGAGCGGATCGGACGCACTTCGCGAAATACAGTCGGCGGACGAATTGGAAAATCACGAATCGGAAAAGATTAAAAGCGCGGAAAAAAGATTGGAGGGCAGATCCTGACAGAGGAGGTCAGGGCGCATCCAACAAGCCAAAAATTGGGAGAAACGGTCGAGTCTTCGTCGACGGAAAATCGGCCAACTTCGACGAGTTTAAGCGGCCAGCACAAACGCGGGATCCAGAAGCGCAATACATCATCGGAACGGTCTCGGAGCAAGGATTCATCTGACCCAAACGGCTCATCATTCGGACGTTCAAGCGCGGAGTTACGCTCTAATAACCAAGAGGGTGTGAATCTGCCCGCATCATCTTCACCGTCACCGCCGTTGCCTCCACCACCACCTCAACATCAATCTTCAGTGCTTCTGCCACAAATGGATCATGTCTCAGGCGAAGGGAAGCTGGAGAGTGCGCCAAAGTTCGACGGAAGCGACTATTGGACTTGGAGCTTTCGATTCGAGCAATGGGCAGAGGCACACGATCTATGGGGGTACTTTGATGGTTCGGAGGAGCGGCCTGCATCGGGTGACACACGGCTAAAGTGGGAGAGGAGAAATCAGAAGGCATTCGCCCAATTCTGCAACGCCTTGGTGCCGGATGAGCTGATTCGCTTGGTACGGGAGTTCGGCGGCAAGACCGAGTTGGGCAGCGCACCTGTTGATGGCGGAGCAAGAGCGGTCACCCGAGTTCCTGCAGGCACAGCAGCGGCATACTCACGAGTGAAAGAGTTCTACCTTCAGCGTGGATTGTGTAACCGGATGGCACTCTCTGACGGGCTCTCTTCCTTGAAGATGAAAGAAGGGGAGGGGGTGGTTGCATACTGGGCGCGTGCCGAGGACTTGAGGTCAAAGTACTTGGCTGCAGGAGGGAAGGAGGAGGTTGAGGAGTGGATGATGAGGGTACTCAAAGGACTACCTCCTCACTTTGAGATGCTGAAGGTAGTGCTAAACAACCAATCACCATCGCTTACTAAGGATCAGCTACTTACCTCGTTGAGGAGCGAGGAGATGCGGATTGGTGTCGCACCAAGATCGGATGGTGTAGCCACTTTTGGAGCGGGTACGAAAGTGGGCAGCATCGGCAGGGGAAATTGGGACAAGGGAGGAAAGCATGGAGGCAGCGGTAACAGCAGCGGCACCAACTCGGGCAGATGGGGTCAGGGGAAAGGCAAAGCAGGAGTGCTTGATTTCCCTTAGGGGTCCAAGGGCATGGCTCCTAGGGGGTTGTGTCATGGCTGTTGGGATGAGGGACATGCATGGCAGCGATGTCCTCACCGACCTAAGGGAGGCATTCCGGCATTCTTACAGCGGGGGGGTCGTGGGTCCAACGGCAAGGCACAGGTGGCAAATGAGGAGGAGCAGGATGACAAGGCAGAGGTAGCGGTTGGAAAGGCAGTTGCAGCAGTAGGAGGGGAACAGCCGCGAGAGGGGTGGTGGATTGACAGTGGAGCCAGCCACAACTTTACTCCTTATGCATCCCACTTCAAGAGTAAGCTCGAGCCACCTGAGTTTCGGGGAGTTAGATTGGGAGATGGACTGGTGGTGAAAGCTGTTGGCATGGGTGAGGTGCCAGTGGTTGGTGCTGAAGGTCAGCTGCTGAGGATTCAAAAGGTCCACCTTGTGCCTGAGATGCACACACGTCTACTGTCAGTCCCACACCTCACCTCTCGGGATGTCATCGTCACATTCCAGGGCAAGAGATATGTTATCAAACGGGGAGAGAGGGTGTTGGCGATTGGAGAAAATGAGGGGGGAAGGGACCATGGTTTGGTGCGGATGTCTCTTCCTCTTGCTCAGGGCACACAGGGCAGTGCTCTTGCTGCTGGATCCTCCTCCTCATTTTCCCCATTGACCCTTGCTCACCGCCGCCTTGGTCATACCGCCCCCACAACACTGCAATAGATGGCTCGGGGGAACAGTGTACTGGGCTTGGAGATTGGGGGGGGAACACTAATTGCTCTCCATGTGAGCCTTGCTTATTAGGAAAGTCGGCTCAAAAGCCGTTTCCCCATGAGGCGTCTCGGGCACTTAGGCCTTTGGATGAGGTCCATATGGACTTGTGGGGGCCAGTGCGTACACCGTCACTGGGAGGAGCGGTATATATCCTCAGCCTCATTCACGACTTCACCAGACGAGTTTGGCCGTTCCCACTCCCCAACAAGGAATCAGCCACAGTTGCAAAAATTATTCGACAGTGGCATAAGGACGTGGAGTTGGAGTGTGGGCGGAAGCTGAAGGCTGTTCGCTAAGACAGGGGTGGCGAGTTCTTGGGGGACGCTGTGAAAGCATGGAAGGCGGAGTTTGGCATTAAAACGCAATTGAGCGTCGCAGATACACCGCGGCAGAATGGGGCCGTGGAGAGGTGGCACAGGACGATGGCAGAGGGGATTCGCACATTGTTGGTCGACAGTGGTCTCCCTGCTCGCTTGTGGGGTGAAGCATTGATGTGGGTCGTGTGGGTTAAGAACAGGGTCACCCACAATGCTTTGCCTGCCTCCATCACACCGATGGAGGCGTGGTCCGGCCAGAAGCCGCATGTGGGCATGGCTCGGATTTGGGGTTGCATGGGAAGTGTCATGCTGCATGGGCATGAGAAGGGTGGCAAGCTTGATGCACGGGCTGTCATGTGTGTCTGTGTTGGGGTGGACATGGAGAGCAAGGGTTGGCGCATGCTGGACCCTTCTCTCATGCGCATTCGCATTGCTCGGGATGTTGATTTTCTTGAGAATGTGATGTGGAAGGATTGGGACAAGGCAAAGGGATTTGGGGAGCTTCTACAGGATGCAGCTGAGATTTCCCAACTCCTCCCTCTTCCACTCTCGCCACCCTCAGCAACGGTTGACGACGCTGAGATGCCACCTTCATCACCACCACCGGCACCGCTGAGTGTGTCGGTGCAGCAGCAGCCCACCCCTCTGCAGCAGCTCAGTGGCCCCTCGGTCATTCAACGGCGATCCGCTACACATGCTACTTCCTCTTCCTCCTCCTCTGGTCAGCGCTCTGTCCCTCTCTCTACGGGTGCACCTACGTCACCAGCGACTACCTCCCCACCACCGGTTACGGGTTTGCAGGTGCTTGGTATCCAGTCTGGTACAGGTGGTGAGGAGGTAGGGGGGGATGCTGGTGTGGTTGAGGGCATGCTGTGTTTGGCCAGGGAGGTGGAGGGTGTTGCACTACCAGGTGTGAGCACCGGTGATGTCCCGCGCACACTCGCTGAGGCACTGCGTGCCCCTGAGGGCCCTGCGTGGAAGGCAGGCACTGAGAAGGAGGTGAATGCAATGCGAACTATGGATGTATGAGATCCAGAGCCAGTCGACTTACCTCCAGGTAAGAAGGCCATTGGGGTCAGGTATGTTTTCCGCAGGAAAACGGACAAGGAGGATAAGGTGGTACAGCACAAGGTTCGCCTTGTTGCTAAGGGGTACACTCAGGAGCCCGAGAAGGACTATGATCAGGTATTTGCCCCTGTGGGCAAGCTCACCTCAGGTCGGGTGCTTCTTGCAGAAGCCGCGGTAAAAGGGTGGCATGTACAACAGGAGGATGCTGATCATGCTTACCTCAATGCAGTCCTTCGAGAGGAGGTGTATGTGAGGCAACCTGAGGGATTTGATGATGGTACAGGTAGGGTATATCGCTTGCGCAAAGCTCTCTATGGGCTTTAGCAAGCGCCTCGTGCTTGGAATGAGGAGATTGGTACCACTCTGATTGCAGCAGGGTTTGACCGCAGTGCATGCGATGAGGCTCTGTACATCAGGTTTGTGGATGAAGAGCCAGTGTATGCATTGGTGTATGTGGATGACCTCTTGCTCGTGTCTCCACGCTTGGAGCTGATCGGTCAGGTCATGGAGGTGCTTGCTCAGAGGTACCAAATGAAGGATCTATGTGAGGTATCCACGTACCTTGGTGTGGAGGTTCGCAGGTCGGTCAAGGATGGGTGGTTGGAGATTGGTCAGGAGAATTATGTCCGTGGTCTCCAAGGAAGGTTTGGTGATCTGCTGAAGGAGACCCATAGGGTGCATACTCCAATGTCACCCAATGATCTCTCTAAGATCAGGAATGGTACTTGGTCGACTGAGGAAGGTACTGCAGCTGATGTCAAGGTGTACCAGAGTCTCATTGGAAGCTTGATGTATGCTGCTGTGACTACCCGTCCTGACATGTCCTTCACTGTCAACACCCTTGCACAGTCCTGCGTGGCACCAAGACGCATTCACATGCGCACTGCACTAAGAGCACTCAGGTACTTGGTCGACACAGCTGATCGTGTCATCAGGTATGAACGCTAAGGTGGTGAGCAGGTTGTTGGGTACACCGACTCGGATTGGGGTGGTGAGACTGATGGCAAGAGTTGCTCTGCCTACATCTTTAAGTTGGGAGGAGGAGCTATCAGCTGGTATAGCAAAAAGCAAGATAGTGTTGCAGCAAGCGTTTCTGAAGCTGGGTATAAAGCTCTATCGGAGGGGGCTAAGGAGGCCATTTGGTTGAGGAGTTTGTTGGCAGAGATGCATGTGGGGGATGGGGGGGCTATTCCATTGCTATGTGATAATGAGGCTGCTGTCTCCCTTGCCCACAATCCTGTTCTCCATCAGCGCACCAAGCACATTAAGGTGGTATGGCACTTTGTACGGGATGCGGTGCGCCAGCAGGAGGTCGAGGTGCACTCAGTACGCTCCCACCTCCAGGATGCCGACATGCTCACCAAACCTCTCCCAAGCTTGCAGCTGCATGAGAACCTTGAGCGCATCGGCATGCGAGTGATGGCTGCGAAGGCCAAGGCTTCATTCGCTGGAGGGGTTGTGTTTTGATTTATGGGTGCACTTTAATGCTTATTGGAGCAAGGGGGGGTGTTGGAATTAAGGTTAATTCGGGTTGCTCCAATAAACATATGTAGTGGTACATCTACACTATAGTAGTGTAGAATACATTGGTTGGGTTGGGATAACTTGTGGTGTACACTCTTTAGAGTGGACCACCTCCCAAACCCTATAGGTTAGGGTTCTCTCTTGTTGGAACTTCACTTCTTGAAAACCACTTTGGTTCTAGCATGGTTCATGCCCAAGTGGGCTCCTAAGATTCCTAGGCTTTAGGAGGAGGTTCTAAGACTACTAAAGCTTCCGTTAGAAGCTTAGTCCATTCTAGCATTATGCGTTGGCAAGGAATCTTGCCAACACTGCCTGCTGCGCAGCCGCGATTGGCTGGAATTGAACCAGATTACAGCATTCCTGTACCAGCGCGAATGTGCGGTGCCGCGCTCGAGAAATTTTCGTTTCCCGCCCGGAATTGACGATGTTAGTGCAACACACCGCCAGGCTGGCGGAAACCCCTGTATTACCCGTTTCAGAGTGCACCCCCGATACAAGGCTGAGGCTCAGCCTACACTCATAAAATTCGTCTGAAATTTCAGCCAATACATTAAAAAAAAACTATGAAAAATCAGAGAAGGTACATATAGAAAAACTTTGAGTTCAGACTAGGTACAAAAAAAAAGCCTGAACGGACACTGAATCAGACTAAAACGTCTGATACCTAGGGCCCTGGTTACAGGTATATTTGAGGCGCACCCCAAATTGCAATACCTAAAAAAAGTGTGGGCACCTAAGAAAAATCGTGGACACCTAAAATAAATGTGGGTACGGGCACCTAAAAATAATGTGCGCACCTAAAAATAATGTGGGCACCTAAAAAAAATGTGGGCACCTAAAAAAAATGCGGGCACCTCAAAAGTGGGCACCTTAAAAAAATGTGGGCACCTTGAAACAATGTAGGAACCTCAAATCAACTCCAACAAGCTGGCAGCAAGGCTACAAGGCAAGGGGATGTGTGAGCTTCCATCGAGCTGAGGCTGGAGAGGCAGTTGATGGAGAGAGATGGAGGACCTGAGAGCAGAAGGGCAAATGGATAAAGAGATACAGTCGGGAACAGAGGACAATAAGTAATATTGTGGCATACGGTATATGTATATATATATGTACATACAAATGAATATGTATATAAATATATATCATGTGTGTGCTGTGCAGGTACGTTACACCGGTCTCAGCATGTGTAATGTGAGCAACCACAAATGCGTGCATGTGTGCATGCATACGTGCGTGTGTGAATGCGGGCAGCATGTGTGCAAGCAAACATTCACATGCATGCGCCAAGAAAGACATGCCCACCACTTTCTGATCATCACCCCCGGTCGCAATGCAGGCATCGTCGGGTGCCACGGCCACCTGCCATGCAGGGAGAAAGAGGAGCAAAGCAAAATCCATTTCAGCAGTCTCAGAGGCAATGCAGGCACCATCAGGTGCCACGGCCACCTGCCATGGAGAAAAGAGAGGGGAGAAAATGAATGCCTTAGAGCTGAACCATTGTGGGTGGAATGTGGGAAAAAAGGATGCAAAAGACAGTTAATTTACAGAGTATAAATGGTCAACAAAAAAGATGCGATTGTAAGGAAAATTTGCAATTACCCACGTCCAGTATAGGGTAGGTTCACAACGGGTATGAATGAGGCTCTTTTGCCAGTCACAGTCCCATAAGACAGCGTTTGGATTTATTTATCCAATGGCTTACAGTGTTGATCGATCGAGTATGTGCGAAGGAGAAAGAAACTAGTGGATCAGCCAGAGTGACGTCCCACACTGCCACACTGCCATGGGAGGACGCGGGCGGGAGGGAGGGGGGAGAGAGAGATGGGAGAAGGGTGGAACAACTGTTGAGTTGCCTCGAGTGTCGGGCAGAGTGACGTCCCACACAGCCACACTGCCATGGGAGGGGGGGAAGAAGGGAGGGCGGAGGAAGAAGGGAAGGCGGAGGAAGAAGGGAGGGTGGAGGAAGAAGGGAGGGCGGAGGAAGAAGGGAAGAGCTGCAAGCTATGCTGAATGGATGAGTGACCCGGGTTCAAGGAGAGGGCAGTGAGGAGGGCGACAGCAGGGCAGAGCATGATAGAATGGCGGAGCATGATAGAATGGCGGAGCATGATAGAATGGCGGAGCATGGTAGAATGGCGGAGCATGATAGAATGGCGGAGCATGATAGAATGGCGGAGCATGATGGAATGGCGGAGCATGATGGAATGGCGGAGCATGATGGAATGGCGGAGCACGATGGAATGGCGGAGCATGATGGAATGGCGGAGCATGATGGAATGGCGGAGCATGATGGAATGGCGGAGCATGATGGAATGGCGGAGCATGATGGAATGGCGGAGCATGAAGGATGGCGGAGCATGATGGAATGGCAGAGCACTCATAAGCCCCACCTGCCGTTGCCACTGGCAGTCACGAGGCCGGGTGAGGCAGAGAGCCATCGGGCGTCGTTCACCCCCTCGTCCCCACAATCCACAAAGCTGCGATGGGAAGAGGGTGTGGGGGTGGGGGGAGGAAAGGGAGTGGAAATAGGGGCGAGGCAGAGAGCCATTTGGCGTCGTTCGCCCCTTCGTCCCCACAATTCACAAAGCTGCTGTGTATGCAACGGGTGTAAGGAGGAGAGAGGGCGAGAAATAAGGGCAGGAACGGAGCAGTGTGGGCAGAGAGGCAGAGAGGCACCGTGCGTCGTTCACCCCTTCGTCCCCACAATCCACAAAGCTAGGGGGTGGGGGAGAGTGTGTGTAAGTAGGGTGAGAGGAGGAGAGAGGGCGGGACAGAAGGCTCATGGACCATGCATGCACCATGCACTGTGGACCATGCATGCACCATGCACTGTGGACCATGCATGCACCATGCACTGTGGACCATGCATGCACCATGCACTGTGGACCATGCATGCACCATGCACTGTGGACCATGCATGCACCATGCACTGTGGACCATGCATGCACCATGCACTGTGGACCATGCATGCACCATGCACTGTGGACCATGCATGCACCATGTGCCATACTGAGTCATTCCCCCATGGGGTGGGCCGTGGGAGAGGAGTCAGTACCATGCACAACACACCCACCCACCCCACCCACCCCATCCCCCTCTCACCTCGCATGCTGCACAAGTCCTGCACTGACGGCATGGGAGGGCCGTGGGAGAGGAGTCAGTACCACGCACAACACGGATACTCCACCCTGCCCCACCCACCCTGCCTCACCCACCCAACGCACCCCACCCTCCCCACCTCTCCCCACCTCTCCCCATCCCAATCTCACCCCGCATGCTGCATGGAGTGCTGCACCGACGGCATGGGAGGGCCGTGGGAGAGGCGCCATTGCGTCAAAATCATGCACTCACCCCACCTCAAACCCCATGCAGTGATACCCTCCCCTCCCTCCCCTTTTCCCTTTCTCACCCCGCACGTGCACTGAGTGCTGCGGTGATGGCACGGGAGGGCCGTGGACGTGGGGTCAGTAGTACCATGCCCCATCACACATACACACCGCACCGCACCACACTCACTCACCCTGCATGCTGCACGGAGTGCTGCACTGATGGCATGGGTGGGCCGTGGGAGAGGCAAAAAAGAGCACGCAGAGGGGGGGATGGGCAGGAGGAAGAGGAAGGGGGAGCAGACGAGGAGGAGGGGGGAGCAGACGAGGAGGAGGGGGGAGCAGCAGCGGAGGAGGAGGAGGAGGGGAGGCAGCGGGAGTCGAAGAGGAAGCAGCAGTTGGCGGAGCAGGAGGCGTGGAAGAACCGACCACAGGGGCTGAATGCTGCTGACGTCACCTGAGGGTTTGGATGGGGAGGAGTGGAGAGGGGTATGGGTGCATAGGTTAATGGATGGAGCAGTGGGGTATGGGGCAGGTGGAGAGTGAGAAGAGAAGCGGAGGCAGCTGTTGGATGAGCAGGTGGTATGAGCCATCGACCACAGGGGCTGAACACTGCTGGCGTCACCTGGGGGTGTGTCAGGGGAGTGGGGGGTTATGCGGTGCATGGGGGAAGAGAGTGGCGGGGTCTGGGTTGCATGCGGGGATGAAGTGGCGGTGCATGTGGGAGTGGGGTGGTATGGGGTGCGTGGAAATTGGCGGGAAGTGAGCAGAGAAGAGAAAGCAATTAAAGTTGAGTGAGAGGGGGGTAGCGGAGGAGCAGGGGAGTGGGAGCAGCGGTTGGAGGAGCAGGCGGCGTGGAGAAAACGACCACAGGGGTGCGTCACCTTGGTGGTGGGGGGATGGAGTGGAGGTGGGGTATGGGGTGCATAGGGGGGTGGATGTATTGGTGGGGTATGGGGTAGGTAGGTGGCGTGGGAAGTGAGCTGTGAAAGCCCTAGGAGGGGAGGTAGATGTCTAGGATCGCATGCCATCGCACCCCTCTACCTGCCATAACCATCTTTCATTTCCCATCCTCCTTCGCATCTCACAGGTGCCTCCCATACACAGGCGGGTCATGGCCTTGTGCACGCATGGTGTTAGACATGCTCCATGCTGCTTGCTGGAACATATCTAACAGCCCTGTGCACGCATGGGTCAAGGAGAGCCACGCTGCCATCTGTTCTACCCACATTCCCATCTCCCTATCTCACCATCTCCATTCCCCTCTCGCCTTTGATGCCTCTCACCTCACAGTTATCCCCTACGGACAGGCGAGTCACTGCCTTGTGCATGCGCGAATCAAACAGTGCCACGCCGCCATCCCCCCCGCCTGCAGGCGGATAGGTGGAGAGAGAGTGGGAGGGAGCGCAGACGCACGTGAGGTGGGAATGCGATGTGTGGGTGGGATGGAAGCACCATGGTCTGAGGTGGCATGGGCTGTGTGACAGGTGAGTCACGGCCTTGTGCGTTCGTGAGTCAAAGAAAGTCACTCCGCCTTCCCCACCACCTGCAGGTGGGTGGGGAGAGAGGGATAAGGAGAGGGAAAGGGAGCGGGGGAAGAGAATAAGTGGAGAAGAGAGGTATGCAGTGCGGGGAAGGCATGTAGGCATGGGACAAGTGGTGAGGATGGGTTGCATGGGTGGTGGCATGGGTGGTGGCATGGGTGGTGGCATGGGTGGTGGCATGGGTGGTGGCATGGGTGGTGGCATGGGTGGTGGCATGGGTGGTGGCATGGGTGGTGGCATGGGTGGTGGCATGGGTGGTGGCATGGGTGGTATGCATGGGTGGTGGCATGGGTGGTGGCATGGGTGGTGGCATGGTGGTGGCATGGGTGGTGGCATGGTGGTGGCATGGGTGGTGGCATGGGTGGTGGCATGGGTGGTGGCATGGGTGGTGGCATGGGTGGTGGATGGGTGGGTGGCATGGTGGTGGCATGGGTGGTGGCATGGGTGGTGGCATGGGTGGTGGCATGGGGTGGCATGGGTGGTGGCATGGGTGGTGGCATGGGTGGTGGCATGGGTGGTGGCATGGGTTGGGTGGCATGTGTGGTGGCATGGGTGGTGGCATGGGGTGGTGGTGCATGGTGGTGGCAATGGGTGGTGGCATGGGTGGTGGCATGGGTGGTGGCATGGGTGGGTGGCATGGGTGGTGGCATGGGTGGTGGCATGGGTGGTGCATGGGTGGTGGCATGGGTGGTGGCATGGGTGGTGGCATGGTTGGGTGGCATGGGTGGTGGCATGGGTGGTGGCATGGGTGGTGGCATGGGTGGTGGCATGGGTTGGTGGCA